TTAGAAACCACGTTCGACAAGAAGGGAGATGAAAAAAAAAAAAAAGCGACGGTTTAATTGCATATTTTAAAAAGAATTTCTCATAACGTACCCTGTTCGCAGTTTAATTACGAGCCAAGAGTGAACGCACATTTTTTAATTAAAATATTCAACATTTTCCTTTGTTTCTCCACTGAACGTGTTAGATAATAAAAATTTTATCGAAGTATCGTACGACACTTGGTTGAAATAAATTAATCACTGAAATTGGACGATATGAAAGATCCAAAGACTGGCGAACCAGAACGCAGCACAAAATTACATAATTCTTTAATAATCGACACGACGAGCGTCCAAATAATCGGCAGCCAACGTGTCCAAGTAATAAAAAAAAAAGAAAAATTTACGAGTACGCGTTACGAGATACCCGTACGAACAAAAAAGAGGAGCTATTGACATTTTTTGCGATTATCTTTCGACGTATCATCGAGAAGAGGACAATTGCAGTGCTGATACTGCAATTTTTTAAAATATCACGTGGATCGCGAATGAACGTACAATTATGCAATATACGAGGCACAACATACTTACCGATTAATAATACATGATTTCGTTTACGCACTAACGTACGACGATGGCCGATGGCCAATAAATGTGCCGTTTAAATTACAGACGACAGTTTTTCACGAAAATTATTGAAAGATTTCAGATGAAACTGGAAAAAGAACGGTGAACTCGCGAATGTTTGAAAATTAAAGTCACACTTTTCAAATTTTATAGAAGAGATATTCGAATACTGGGATCCAGATATGGAAAGCTCGTAGAAAGCTGTATTAATTTATGCAATCAAACCGAATTTAAAAATTAATTAACTCAAGATGAAATATATTTTCGAATCTTTCTAAGCGTAAAAGAATTTCGCGCCATAAAAGAACGACGCTAAAAAGCAGCTTCTTACAAAATTCCTGGTATCTCGACAGACTTTGAAGCCGTAAAAGGAATTGTGCAAACGAGACCAGCCGTTTAAAGGTCGTCGCCACGTTTTGCGACGCGACTTCCTTAATCAAACCATCCTACATTTTTGTAAAATGGTACACGAGAATGAGGAAAAAATTGCCATTTAACCCTTGAATAATTTCATTCGCCTAAATGAAATTATTAAAAAAAAAAAAAAACGATGATAACTAAATAGCACTAGATATGGAATTAAATAACGAGGACTGTTAATCACAGCACGAGGGTGACTCGTGTTTCGAACCATAACTTGTACCCTGCACCTTCAATATGACTCGTTGTTACAAAGCCAAGGAGCGATTATTAATAAATATGGATAAGCTACGTTTGCAAATCGAACGCACCAGTTGCAAGCTGTTCACTCATTATCGTTAATGTGTATACAGTGGCCTGAATATAGACACAGTTGGTAAAAATGTGTTGTTATTGTACGCAGGGGGTCGTGATAACCCGTTAACAACCATTTATCACGGAAAATTTCAATACTGCTCCGTCTTCGATAGGAGGTGAAAAAACTTGATGATAAGGAGAAACGAAAATATTATTGGTAGATTTAATAAACGAGAGTGTGTAGAAAAATATCGATGCTAATTTAGGTAGAGAGTTGTACAGTAGATTATTATGTTCTAAAAAAATTTGATGATTATTATGCACTTGATGAGGGCAAAGGCCAGAAAATTCTGAGATAACCAGGCAGAAAAATATTGTTGGTGGAGAAGATAGAAAGGAAACGACAAAGGTTAAATATTTTAAATAACTATGAATACAATTCTTCATTCTATTTAAATATTAATGAATGGAAGTAGGCTGGTAGAATCAACATTTACCTTCATGAAAGGTTGTACAATGAATTATGCACAAGTTTTAGTCAACTTTGTAAGTTTTTCCTCCATTTATACGTATTTGGTTACAATGTCCTGTGGAATTTTCATTAATAAGTTTCATTGCGAGAAAACAAGTCGCAATGACAAAATTTGAAGAAGAAAGTTTATTTAATCTCCCTCTAGCAATTCTCAAGTAAACTGGATAGTAGATAATGAAGAATACTGCCGTATGGATGGCAGATAATAAAAAGAAAAATACAGCGGAAACATTCAAATTCAAACACTGTCACCAGTCATCCGCCGCTAAAAAGCTAATCAAGTAAAAAACGAAGAATGATAACGATTTCGTTGCGAAATTGACTAGATTACAAAATTACATTGAAATCATAAATTTTTAGATAATTATACCGACAATTATTCAAGTAATACACTGCTAAAAAATTCGCGGTGCTCTCAATCTAAACAAGAATTATTAAACTGGGTCAATCGTGACCCAAACAAGAATATTAATCTAAAGTTAAATGTATCATTTTTAAAGGAAGAGTGTAAAATTTAGAAAAGAAAAATATATAATACGAAGTAGAAAAGTAAATTAGAATGATGGCTCTCTCCATGGTCCGCCGTGCCAAAGGGTTAAGAAATGCATTATATCGCATTGCTTACCTTTTTAAGAAGCGTCAATCATTAAACAGGAGTCAATAACTGCATACGTTACTCTATAGAGATTTCCACGAGTGATTACAAATCGCAGTAAGGAGAAATCGATAGAAAGGATCAAGTATACAACAAAGAGAAAGAAGATCAATAATGTCAGTGTCATCGGACACACGGTGCAACGAGATATCAGGCTGAACAAAGGCGAATCATTTTATCTACAAGAATAAGAATGCGATTAAGTGCACGCGTTGAACGTGAAAAACATTTTCTGATGGCGATCGAGCCTGTGTGCAGGACACCGACTCGACTGGCTGATTTCTCAGGAAGAAAGCTGATATCCGCATGGATCCAATTTTGTCCGCGGATCGAGTTCCCGCCTCGCGGACTGCGTGTTTCGCGTCTAATATAATAATAGTGCCGTACGGACCGAGATAAGAGGTGAAATGCGTGGTACATGCGTTCCACGTGTGTGGCAAAAATACTTAAACACCAGTATATCATCTTCAACGCGAAATATATACAAAAGGAAATTGTTTCGTCTGAGCGTTCATGATTATTTCAACAACTCGTATTTCAATCCCTATGCGATGTTTCTCTTTCGAAAGGATTTCAAATGGAAACCGCTGTGATATGATCATATGGAACCCTAAACTCCAAACTCTGGAACATACGTGACCCAAAAAAATAATGTTTTCACGAAAATTGGACGTATCAATTTTGAAATTAAAATTAATTAAAATTAATTAAAAATATACCAGCTCCTTATGCCAGAAGCAAAGGATAATGAAATGTAAAATGAATAGAAAATAAAAACTCTATCGTAAAACTATGATGACGGAAATATCTCGACATCTGTTTGCAAAGCGTTAAAAATAAAATTACCGTCTGCTAGAACTTCCTTCAGACAAATGGTATCTATTATAAAATTGTACCATCGAATGGTGTTTCATTAACTCGGACCATACGCCTTGTAACGGGCGTAAGATCGAGAATTTCGTACTAGAAATATTCATTAAAATATAAGCTTTAATTTGATATGCCACAAGTGCAGTTTTACGTTACTTTGACGTCATGAAATCGTGTCATATTTGTTTCGAAATACGGCATCTGATATGCAACGACCTAACAGTAATCTTTGGCAAAGAAATTCGAAGAAAAAACTCTTGAATTATTCGGTCGTAATGAATTATTTTATCTCTCGCGTAAGGTGTCCGTCCAAAAAAGTTGAAAAAGAAAAAAGAAAAGAAGCGACGAGAAAGATACGCTATGACATCAATGTCTGTACATACAAGACGTGTGGTCATCTAATGTAATAAGATCGTTTCATACGTGATAAAATGTCAGCTGGCAACCAGCAATACGATAAACTTTCCAGACGTACATCGTACGCGTACGAAACTGAGGAAAATCTGCAGGTCAGCATAAACTTTCCTCTTTCTTCCGTATTTTCCTCGCGACGAATCGAGTCGAAAGTAAATTTTAAACACACCCGGATGTATATAACCGCAGATGTTCATCAACGTCAACGTGACATCGATCCAGATATTTCTACGATCAATTATTTATAGACAATTCAAGGTTTTCCTTGTTCAACGCGTAACTGATTGCGAATGATTTATTCGATCGCAAAAATAGATCATTCTAAAGACAAACCCGACGATCTTACGGGAATGCGCTTCCATTTATTTCTGTTTCACGCGAAACGGTATAATTCAACGATTACACAAGTTCTCCATTATATAAATGTCTATGAAATACTAAGAATAAATAGAAAACGAGACGGCATCGACAAAGCGTGAGCTGAACAATACCGATGAAAAGAAACGATAAGAATCGTAGGGTAATATAATTAGGAAAATGTAAGGTAATCGATTAAATCAATACCCTTTACCGTCGTTCTTCGTTATAATAGACATTAACTTTCTTATTGTGATATTAACGTTAAGAACACGTGTTACAGACTGTGGTTATATAAAAATTTTTAAACGGTATCTAAACGGTAGAAAATTTACATAAACACGTAATTGGTGGCTGGAAGAAAATTATAATTACACTCAAGCTAACAACAAACCGAAATATTAACGTAAAGGACGAATTGGTTGCTGGTAGTAAATATATTAACACCTTGAATACAGTGGGGGTGATCGATGACCGTCATCGCAAATTACTTGAATAATTAAAAAAAAAATAATAAAAAAATAAAACGATGGAAAAATATTGCTATTATACTAATGATGCAAGGTAGCAAATTAAGGGGGGGAGGAAACGGGTAATGAATTTAAGCAGGGTCGGCCCTGAGATTTCGCGGGTCCGGGGTGAGTTCCGAAAAAGGGCCCCTTCAGATATATGACAAAAAAAAGTAGCTCAAATAAAATTTATAAAATTAACATTAAAGCTTGTATAACTAATTTAGATTTGGATTTACATCGATTAATATTCAAGTAAATATTAAAAATAACGATTGCACATTTTAATTGTATCAGAAGTGAATGTACTCACGTTTGTTGACACCGAATGCAAAGTCAGTGAATTGCGAGTTCCGAAGGACATTATTGGTTGCAGTACGAGGATTCGAAGGGGCGAAGTCTGGATCGTCGAGGTCGAAGGCCACGTTCTCCTCGAATTCTGTCAAATTGCTCTCCATAATCACGGGAAATATGGTATCGAGTCGATCTTCAGCACCGAATTATGAAACGATCTGAAACAGAAAAAATAATTAATTGTATTACTGTTCAACATAGAGTATTACTATCCGTAGAAAATAAATGAATTTCATATTCCTTTTTCTCAGTTATCTACTGCAGCTATCAATTTCAAATTTCAAATACCTATTGTCTATTATCAAATAAAAAAATTTTTTTAAATTAAATCTTTTGACTTCAAAAAATGCTCACTCCCCTTTTTGTAATATGGTAAGTTTGATAAGGATTTCAAATAAATATTATTTTGTGGTCTGTAAATTTGCATCACAGGTAAAGTAATGTTAATTACCACAAAATAAATTTTGATTTTTTATAAAATTAAAATATACGTTAATAATTATAGCTGTTTTCTTCGAAACAAAATTAAGCCTTTTGCGTGACCGTGTACGCATCATTAGCATAGAATAGCCTGCACGAATTAGATACGCACTGTATCGTTAAAATAACTGTTATTAATGCCTGAATAGTAGGTCGGGGTTATTCTGACCCTCGGTTCAATTTGAACGAATAAAACAACTAAATATATATAGTTCACCGTGACAGTGTTCAAAAATAAATGAAAATAGAGAAAAATAATTATTATTATTGTTACACAGTACCGACCTTACCATATCAGACTAGGGGTTGTATTTCTTGGAAGGTTTATTAAATTACAAAACATTCGTAGAACAATAAGAAAGCACGTTTGGGGAATATTTTAAAAATACTATTCTAAATATCTTACACTCTAATGTATGCAAGTATGTATATATATATCATGAATAATAACGCGAGGTCAGTTGACGGAACAGGTCGATAGTTTACATTATTAAGTGCCTTTTCTCTTATTTTTTTCCTCCTTAAATTAAATGTCAATGTACGCGCGACGATAACGTAATGATATACACTTCGGATCTAATTAATATTTCAAAACATTATAATAAATTTCTTATCGAAGGAATTACCATAAACGTAGATAATTTGAATACAAACGTATGTAATTGACGTAACGAACGATACTGTCGAAAACATTCATTTGAAAAAAGATAACCACAAAAAGAAGTAAAAATCATTTCTAATTGAAATTGAAAGATTCTATCCTTTGATCTTTGATATGATATTTATGTAAATAATTATAATGCATTAATAATTTATAGTAATTGACCTGGAAAAGTTTACAGAATTCTCAAAGATGGAGGGCGCTGCCGAGAAGCGGTTTTAAAATTCAAATTCTAAGATAAATGTCTGCCTAAAGTGCGCAAATATTTGCAAATATTTTACAATGAAAACGGCACAGCAATTCATTGTTTGCAAACTTGGAATGACACTGACAGAGAACGTGCGACAAATAAAAAAAAGGAATAGACAAAGAATGAAAAAGATCGAATTTTGTGTTTGCATTTTGACGGACATTTATCTATGTTCCTTGATGCGTAATACGAGAAACCATTTTCTTTTTTCTGTTAACGATATTGCCGATAGATTTAGATAAAACGAAATAAAAATTGCAAATGGATTGTTACATTAATCTGCTTCTTATAGTCTATCATTTAATATCAATAATCTCAACAACAGGTTAATTAAGGTTTAATAATGATATTAATTTAAGCGGTTTCCTTTTCATCTATGATGAATGATGAGTAACGGATACGACGCCAACACACAGGTATATTGATAGATATAGGTACTACGCATCAGAGGAAATGCTTACAAAAATCAGAAGCACGAGAACGCGACACTAGGCTTAAAAGGTTAAAGACTTTATGTCAAGTTATTCAGATATTCTTTTGTAGCGTCATTAGAAAAGTCAGAACAACACGAAACACAATGTATGTTCGTTTCTAATAATTAAAATATTAAATTGAAACACGAAACCAACTGAGAATGATATATTATTGTATCTCGAATTTCTGAAAATTAAACTGTACACTGTTATAGAATATTCGGTACAAATAAGACAATATTTTTAAAGACTACCATTTAAAATGTCGGTTATCAAAGTATTGAATAACCATACATAATCATATTTTTGGTATATCATATCAAATTTATGTGTGTCAGTTTCGTACATAAATACAAAACAAAATGGCAAATAATTTATTAATGCTCGTGAGATGAAATGTTAGATTGTATGGAAATTAATGGATAAAATGAAATGTACATATTTTAAACTGTTCAAACTTCAAAAAAGTTTACGATATCTGAAACGCACTCATAAACATAAAATGTACATTAAAGTGACTAAAATTCCTACCTGTTGTATAATTGTTGTAATCTGCTGATGTTTATACAACGATTCACAATTAGCACTGAATTTTCGAATATTTCCGCGATAAAAGAAACGAGAGGTGTACTTCCACGACCCGCTTGTACCGGCGGCCGAAGGTCGACTGACACACGGCCCACGTTCGCGCGGGAAATTTGTCTTACGCACTCGTACAGTTTCGCGCGTCTGTTCGACATCAAATTAATATCTCTTATCTTACGTGATGACATGTAGTAAATTTCGATGATTAGTGTTTTCTTCTTATCATCCTTCATCTATGATATTAGATAGATTTATTTAAAAGATTATAAAAGAAAGTTATCAATTTGGAATAATATACATTCGTAATAAAGATATGCCCCTTAAACAAAATTAGATATAATTATAAAAACCAAGGTAAGTATTTTAAATAAGTTCACAAAATTTATTAAAACTATTGGGCATATTTAATATTAATTAATAAAGCAACTAATTATCATTATTTTCTTAACTACGTGTCCAAGTTTCATATAAAAATAATTTCAGTATATCACAGAAATCATAAGTTTATTTCGGGTAGGTTTCACACGTTAAATTGATATTAAATACAGTTTAAAATATATATATAGTGGCAATTAAAATTTACAGAAATTCTTGATCCTATGATTATACTTCTAATTACGTATGTATATCATTTACAAAGCTTCAACATTATGTAAAATGATTGTAGTAAGCTAGCAACACAGTTAAAAACTTATAAAATATTTATACATTTCAAATATTACTAAAAAATATGCTAATTTGAGCATGATTTATCCCCTTGCAACTCTATTGCAATTTTTGGTCATAAATTTCGATTAATATTTGATACATCAAATATTATCTACTTCATCATTGTACAATGAAATACCACCATTCATTTTTAATTTAAAATATAACTTTATCACAGGTAATTACGTTAATACATTGATCCAAATCCTGTGTGAAAAGTAGATGATTGGTATATTTCTTTATACACATCATTATGGGTATATAAATATTATACTTACTAGGATTTGGAGGTGGACGCATTCTATACATATCTGGAGGAATAAATCGCGGGGGGTATGGTCTTAAAGGACCCACCATAGGAGGTCTGACACTACCATAAGGAACTTGTGCACGAATAGGGACTAAGGGCCCCACCATTATAGGTCTTGGTGGGAAGTTCTGTAGAAATGATAAATGGGTAAAGTTTAATATCACAGAATTATAAGACCTCGCATAAAAATTGAATTCTTACTCCACAATAAATAGGAACAGGGATCTGCTCAATATAATGTGGCGGAGGAACCCTCAGTTCTCTAGATCTATCTCTATCTCTCCTCTCCCTAGAGCGTTCTCTTGACCTTCCTCGGTACTCTTGATAAGATCTCTCATCTCTAACTGATCTACTGTTAAGATAACATTTTTTAGAATATAATTCTCCATACAATATTTGAAATATTACATTTACAAAGCTTTACAAATATTTGAAATATACCTATGATGAGAATTTCTATCCCATTTTCTTTCCTCTCTTTCCCTAGAACGCGAATGATCGCGACGACTTCTTTCTCGTGACCGATCGTTATCTATGCTATGCGGATGAGTACGTCTTCTTTCTTGTTCAATATGACGTTCTCTATACTCTCTACTTTTATCTCTATTATGTTCTCTTTCCCTGAACAGATTATATTGCTTAATAAAATAAAAGCAAAGAAATATACATGATAGATAAAAATGTAAATAAAAAAAAAACAATTTCTACCTATCATTTCTATAAATTTCTCTATTATTATGTCTTGAGTCTTCGTGCCTGAAAGAAAAGCGATTAATGAAAACCTTGATTTCTAAACACTTTGATGATATATTATCTGGAAACTGCATAAAATGTAAGTATTAAATTTAATCTTAAATTATAAAGCAATACTCTGTATCATATCACCATGTGTCATACCATAATAAAGTATCATATTAACTCTGACTTTACTTAATGCTATTCATGGATTTCATGAATGAAAACTAATATTTCCTATAGTGTATCTTTCAAATATTTAAGCTGAGTGTATGTAATTTTATTTGTGTTTTACTAAGTTGCAAAAAAAAGTTAAGCTATGTACAATAAGCATACAAGTATATTAAAAAAGCTATGTATAATAAGCCATTAAGGATACATACAGAAGGGAATTAATTGTGCTTAAAGCAATGTATGCTGTAAGCAGTGTTGGAAGATAAAACGGAATACAGCAAACAGCTGTAAATATTAATTGCTAACAAAATTACTAACAAGGATTATGCAAAGTAAAAAATATGCAACATACAATACGTTGATATTATTATTATTTACTATTAACAATCTAAATTACTCACCTTGTAAGACTGCTATCAATTATATTAATGTCAATTACCTGAATCAGAAAGTGTGCATAACAATAACAATATACCAATGATAGGCTTTACTGATAAAATAATTAATAAATCTTTTATCGAATTAAAAGAAATAAAAAGCAATATCATTTAGACGATTCAAAGATATTTGAAAAATTTTGTATCTTTGCATTCTCCTTAAGAAGGATGTATAAATTAATAAAGTAAAAAATAAAGCATAAGCACTGGTATTAACATAAGCAAGCATATGCATACAGTCAGGTGCATCCTCGTCCATCTGCTGCCGTTTATCGTCATCCTTGCGAAGCATTAGTAAAGCTAGAACAAAACAGACTGTAATAACATAAAACAAAACATGCCTAAAACAATTCAGAAGCATAATTACATTCACAATTAAATTGTGAAACATATACAACACGAAAGCACATCCATTAGAGACCAACACAATACAAGAAATGTAATATCTCTAAACATTTAATCACGATACAAAGCGCTACTTTTATTAAATATAAAAAACGAAAGAAGCATGTCTGTATGATAAATAGTCCTGAATATAAGAATTTATGTTTATAGTCAAAAACCTGTTGAAATCATCCATAAATTTCAACTCTGGAAACACTTTCTTAATTATTGAATTTCAAGCCTATAACGGCTATAACCATATATGATATTTTGTGTATAAAACCAGTGTATATTCTGTATAAATACAATACTCCAGTATACAGATACTAACTTATGAACGAATTCTTTGTTTGTTAAGCAATACCTTTTTCTCATTCGTTCACAAATCAGCTGTACACTGATACCATATCCATATACATATAGTATAATCTTATAAATAGAAATTTTTAAAAATAACTTCGTTCTCCATGAAATTACAGTTACCAGTACAGGCACAAACCTGGAATGATGCGGCGAAGTACGTGGAAGACTGTGACTTCGAGCTCTTACATTAGTCGGAGACGTCGTATATTTTTTTAACGTTTTTGATTTGCTTTCTAAAAATTAAAAACTTCAAACTAACAAAACAGAGGACCAGTTATAGAATTCACAGATTATCGTTTAAAACAGCAAACGACTATTTCTATGAAAATCCGTGAAAAAAATATTGGAATGTATTGATTTTGACTATCAAACATACCTAAATTTTCACTACTTATAGCTTTAACAGTACGACGTTCTCCAACTTCTTCTGTTTTGACTACTGCATTTTTTATTTCTTCCCTTTCAAATATTGGCTTGGATCCTTCTCCTATAGTTACAACATTTATAAATAAAAAGAATACATGAAATATATACACATATATGTCAGGAAGAAGCAATTAAGCGGTACTAAAAAGTATGACAGACCTTGAAGATAGTGAAGTTCATATTTAAACTAATTGGCTAGCTCTGAACAATTGTAAGCCAGATCACTTCATTACAACTTTATCATTTTATACTTTAACACTTTATACTGTTAATTTTGTATTAGCTACTTATAAAAAAACATATGACTGAAAAATTTACTTGTGGTATTTAGTTTAATGTATGTTTCAAAAATACGAAGAAAAGAGACTTTCATAATCTATTAATGATTAAAAAAATTAATTGGCTTACAATTTTCTTGACTGCCATATTATACCATACACATGAATATAATTTATGTATATTAATTCGAAAAATATTGAAATTTAATTTCATTAGTTATGTGTATAGTAATTTCATGATCAATACAATAAAATCTTCCAAGATGGTTTTTATCTTCCAAGATGATAAAATCTTGCTCTTCATTAGTTTAGAACCTTGTAATTTTTTAAATTTTTTCCCTCAAAATAATTTATATTCAATCTATCGATATATTTTACCTCATAAACATAAACGATAATTTCATAAATCAAAATTATATCAATTCATTTAGTTAGTATTTTGTAACATATTAAAAAATAAGAACATTATAATTGTTTTGTTTCTTCCAATGTAGTTTTTAAAAATTCGGCTACTTCATTGTAGAATTCTAAGCTTTAGGACTTAATTTAAAATCTTCCATTGGAGAATACTCTAGCTCAATATTAAGGTTTGTATCTTCAGTTGTTGAATGTTAGAATTTAAAATCTTCCGGTCGATTCTTTTTAGAAAATAAAGCATTTACAAAAGCAGTGTTTCCAAACATGCAAGCAGCCCAAAAACAAAATGCAAAGAGAATGCACAAAAACAATATGAATAAATTTTTCGAGAAGCTTTAAATCTATATTATAGACATATTAAAGCAATACTCTTTGTGCAAACTCAACAAAAAAAGGACAGTAAGCAGTGAAGCAAAAGATATGCTAAACAACACATTAATCTTAAAACACTCAAGATAATGAAGTTTGTGCTTACACATTGCACACATTGTTGTATTCCAAATTTGTTTTATCCAGGGTGAATCAATAATACATTAACTTCACGAATTATCTCTTCAATATAATATGTAGACAATACCCATAATCTTCATGTCTGTAGAAAGTGGTAGACAAAGTCATCATTCTTCAAACATTGCATTTAATAAAGTGAAAATTCGTATATCTTTAATTAAACTGCAGTCATATATCAAAAAAGCAAAATTTGTAGACTTCTTTCAAAAATAAGAGATTGAATTATAACCCAGAGTTTACAGCTTTACATTAAAAAGCATACAATCTCCCAAATCTTCAGTTGAGAAGTTGTAATTCGTAGAGAACTCCACAAATAATCATCTTCCGCGTTGAGCTTATATCCATCAATGGCATTTCTTCACTGAATGACTGAAAACTTTTAGATAATCATAAGAAAAAACAGCATGTTACCCTCTCTTCTTTTGACCACCACATCTTCAGGATTAATAATCTCCCGGTGAAGATCATCTGCTGTTGATTTTCCAGGAATGCTTCTGTGAATATCTACTTTGATTCTGCGTAATTCTGTCACACTAATTTGTGTACCTTCAGGTCCTTTAAATATAGGTGTTGTCCCATTTGATGATTCTAATCTATAATACAGAATGACATTTTATTTGATGGTAAAATAAATAATTTCTTGTATACTGCTCTGTTTTGTACATACTTTTCAGACAAAGTTTTGGGTGTATCTGATACAGAAGTTCTTCCATGTCGACTTGGTGGAGATTTACTTGCGCTACTACTACGACTACACCGAGAAGATCTTCCTTTAGATTCGCGTAATTTTTTCTCGCGTGCGCGTTGCATTTCATATTCTAAAATCTTTTTCTTCTTCAATCGTTCATGCTCCTCGTTTAATTTCTGTTGTAACATCCATTCGCGTCTACGTCGTACTTTTTCTTCTTCTGCTCTTGAATGTGAAGCGGCTTCATAATCTTCACTGCGTGATGCTCTAGCTTTTTCATCGCGATGAGAATGGCCTGGGACGTTTCGCTTCATACTTGCAATCCATAATGTAAATCAGTCACAGTTATTTATCATACAAATTACATATATGAATTGTAAGATAGTAAAATAGTTTTACAGGTTATGATACCTTGTTATTGTTTAGAAAAATTACATTAAATAAATAGCGGGTACATTAAATCAAATTATGAACGCTAGTCATATAACAAGAACATTTATAAAAAATAAGAGACAATCTACGCGCGCAAGAACATTAATACACGTATCCTAAAACCTAACCAAGGCCATACAACTCTGTATATACCGTAGTTCATCAGAGTCCATAACTGCGACGCGCAGGTTGGAAGATGGTGGGGGAACGCAGCGAGCTCTCTGCTAATTGCTTTCCACTTCGTTTGGGAGTATCGCCAATCAGGGCGAAGATGCGCACTGGAGAAGCGCAAAGAACGAAAACTGGTTTTTTCGCAGTTATGGACTCTGATGAACTGCGGTATAACTTGCGATTCTGAAATGGCCGAAATGTCCTAAACATGAACCGCCAATGAGCGGTAGGAAGCGCAAAATGTCGATGAGAACAAGACCAATAAAAGAAAAGCAAAGAACGACGCTACGCATATTTGCCAACAATGGATAACATATCCAAATCTTAAGAAAAAAACAATTAGAAAAGATAAAATATAATTAGTTGCTACATTAATATTAAGGACTGCAATATACTCTGTATCATATCCATAACTTTTTTCATAATACTCATTCATAATCCATATATGCAAAAGTGCATCATATCCATTTCTTTTTTTGCAATACTCTGAACCATATCCAATTTTGAGGTAAATAAAAAACAATTGGAAGAGATAAAATATAATTAGTTGCTACATTAATATTAAGGACTGCAATATACTCTGTATCATATCCATAACTTTTTTCATAATACTCATTCATAATCCATATATGCAAAAGTGCATCATATCCATTTCTTTTTTTGCAATACTCTGAACCATATCCAATTTTGAGGTAAATAAAAAACAATTGGAAGAGATAAAATATAACTAGCTGCTACACTAATATTAAAAATTGCAATACACTCTATATCATATCCATAACTCTTTTTCATAATACTAATTATTCATAATCCATATATGCAAAAGTGCATCATATCCATTTCTTTTTTTGCAATATCTCAATTATATCCATCTTAAACTCAATATGCAGTACTCAAAATCATATCTGTGCAATACCTCACATTTTATATCATATCCATAACTTTTTCTACAATACTCAATTATATCCATATTTTTAGGAGAAAACTATATGTTTTGTGAACTATGCAGTGCTTAGAATAACTGTTATACTCAAATATTTTACCAATTACAATATTGCTAGAAAAAGTAAGATTCTTAATTATAATTTTTATAAAAATGAGAATATTTAGTTACCTTTAAACTAACTCCGTTAAATGGAGCACAATATATTGCTATTTTCTGTTAAGAATATTTGTTACAAATCCAAGCTCACTTCCATTTCTTTTCAGTGCCGAAACTCAAGTAATAAAACCTTTGTATCGAGTGTTTGGACGCTTGGGACAGTTAACGGTATTGAAGTGCCATCTACAACCTTCTAAAATTCTAAGATTAAACATAATAAATTCAAAACACTTATCGCATCAATTATATCCTTAAGTAACTTCTTCATTTATAGAATATTTTAAATGATTAAATAACTTATTTTTAATAAAAATTAATTTGATATATGACTATGGAGGAAAGAAGACGCCATATTGTTCGCGTATAGTTTCAGTATCAGTGTTATGGCCACGGCTGTGACAAGTGTTGTGCCCTTGTAACTTCAAATTGTATTAAAAATTTCTTAAACATACCTCACAGTAAGAATGTTGATAAACGGGTGGCGCATGATTCTTATTCATTTTCTAATCGCTTGGAAAATTAATTAACTCCCTTCGAATTCGACGGAGACGTGTACGATCAAGCGAACATCCGGAAAAAGTGAATCGCGCACAGTAAGGACGAAGAATAAACGCCGTAAAGTATAGACGGCGTGAAAGGAACGGAAATAGAGGTTAGTTTATTGAACACAACTACCCTAGTCAGTTAAGATGGTAGTCGTTACAGTAGTAGTGGTGGGACAAGTGATGTCATTGATATCAATTTAGTTAAAACGTTCAACGGAGAGACATAAGAAGAATAGCAATTGTCATAAGTAACAATGGCTGTGAGCACCGAAACTTATCTTATCGATTATTTTCTCGATATCATTTAAAAATACGTGAATGTTAAACTGTTAACCAGTGGCTAACAATTTGATAATTTATATTAAATACACGATCTTCCTTCTCTCAATAACATGTTCTTTCTTTGTTAATCCTTCTACCCGTCCTTCTCTCTTTATTCCTTTTGATTCTTTCTCTCCTCTTTGTTTATTCGTATGCATCGGGGTATCTTCATTTTATTACGAATGAACTTTCCGAAGAACGAGATTGCTTGTCAAAGAAAGTACTAGACGATCGTGGCTCAATCGAAAATTGCCGCGTTACTTCGTTCGAATTAATTGATTCGGTAATTAAAAGTACTACGATAAGAAATATCAAGAAATATGCGAAGTTTGTAAGTTGATATTGTGCAATAACTGTGAAGGTGAGTTATTTCGGAGTATGCAGGTATTCTAATTTATTAATAAACACCGAATACGGCATTGCGTTACTTGGAATACTTTGAATATCAACCGTGTTACGTATCATACGGGCAAACGATATTATTTGTTGTTTTACTTAACGTGTTCCCGTTATCGTATCGTGAATTGAAAAATATTTCTCGCAAACAATTTTTATTTGTTCCGAAAGAATACTTTATCGATCGAAAATAGGTCATTGAGATCAAGTAGGGGAAGTCTGTAGATACATTCTTTGCACTTTTAATGACCCGAAGTATAATGATAGAGGCGTGTTTTGTGTTTTGTTAACAGGGTTGCAACAATGTCTAAGAAGACTAATTGCAACAAAATGTTAGTCCATCAATTGTCATCTGTGTTACCCGATGATAGACCCATCACATCCATAAGAATTATTGAAGATATAGATAAATGTCCACCAAATTTCACAGTGGTAAGTAATAATAGTAAAAGATTGTTATGATCAATATATTTCATTTAAAAATTTTTTAAATAATTAGGTATCAAGAACATATGACCAAGACACAGATGCCGATTTATGGAGGGAAAGTGGACTTTTCATAAAAAAGAAAGGCAGATATATTTGTTTTTCTAAGACTGAAGGGTTACCTCAGTGCGTGGTTGAAGACATAGTAGTTATTAATGAAAGAGATTCTCCTCCAGAGGGATACAGCATAATCTCTTATACCGTTGATTCAAGTGAGCATACGTAAGACTGATCAGAATAATGTGTAATAGAAAATCATTTTCGCTTAGTACATTGCTGTAATGGATTTTAGTGCAGAAGGCATGGAGGAAGAAGCAGTTGTGCTATAAAATTAGAAATAAGGATTTATGTTCAAAAGCGGTTACAGATATTATTATATGTAGTAGAATTATGAATAAGGTTTATACCTCTAAAATGGCACCAAATGGGTTTATTGCTGCTGGGTATGCATACAGTTTTAAAATTATCCAAGTTTCATCAAAATATCATTGTTTTTCGTATTAAAATATTTCCTCTTCCAGTGTCATAAATGGAGTTTGTGTTTGCTACAAAACTGTAGATATTGTAAATGGGAATTCAAACTCACAATCGTACGTTAATATAGAGTAAGAGTCAGTTTTATCTAAAAAAAGATTAATGTATATATCAACTGTTACAAATAATATTTTATTTATAGTTTACTTCAAAGTGCTTCCCCGAATCCATCAAATGGAACGCCCCACAGAGTGCCTCCCGAAAGGCCGCCAAAACCAAAGTTTTCACCAAAACCGACTAATGGAATTTACCCACAAATTTCTGGGAGTGGGGGAAAGGATTTAGACGAATCGAGCGATAGAGATTATGAGATTCTAAGTCCCGATGCGAAAATTAAACCTACGAGACCCGCTCCGCAACCGCCAACAAGTGTAGTTGCTGGAGCTTCATCGATTTATGGTACACTGCCAGGATCTTCAGATTTGGATGGAGTTCCATTTGTTCTTAATCCACGTCTTAATGTTCAATCTGATTCTTCAAGTGTAAGTTGCTTTTACTATAAACTTTTCTTATCCATCTCGTATTCTTAACAACTATTATTTACAGAATAAACTGCCAACTATCAAAGTTTGGACCCAAAAAGACTTGGATAAGGAGGTAAGATGTTTTTGATGTTTATAGATGTAACATTGATATCAGGTATTTGATGTTTTTATTCTTTATTGATTCTTTCCAGTTCTTTTATGATTTCCGTGCGGAGAGAGAAACTTGAAGAAACCAGTGTGCCAAATTGTGTGATTCTTCATGCAATTATTCAGCTATATCTATACATTTGTATTGATAATATAGCACTAGCCAAGTGTAATAGAGTGCCTGAACGAGTGATTCATACTAACCTGCGAAAATGGAATCCTTTTAACATTTACTGGTGAGATGTTCGAATTTAAATAATGTCCATTTTCTGAAGTACTTTTTCTTCTGTGTCCTATTTAGATTTTGATACCAGTGACAGTTAGCATTGTATTTTTATAGAGTTGCGTTGTATTTTTATAGATAGTAGAAGTTATATATATTATATATATATGATTGTATCATATGTTCTAGTTGTTTATAAATCGTCACAAAGTATTTAACATTGTACTGGTGTACTCCTATTTCTTAATCAAACGCAAAATTCTTTCAATAAAGTCATTTTTAATTTTATTTCCAACAACAAAAGAAACATGTATACTTTTATTTTTTTCTCCTCGAATTAATATTTCTCAACAAAGTGCCTTTATAATGCTCCGATGCATTATAAATTCTATATCTCGAAATAAAAACAACAGAACATAATCGTTCTTGGAATAAAAACAATACTTTCCACGATACTTCTCACAGTAAAATGGCTAAGCTAACATACATCGTTATTACGAATTACTTCGTCGTTTCTGTTATTGATGCTATAAATAAGTGAGAAATATTTTATTAAAATATACGACACATCAAAATCCTTTTTCATTCGAAGCTGCTATAAATAAATTAAGTTCTACATTTTTCTATCTATTGTATTAGGAAAAAAAAAAAAAAAAAAAATAGAAAGACATTAATAATAATTTACAGAAATACATTTTACCTTGAAAAACGTGTTTAAAAAAGTTTAAATTATTCGAAGCACAGTCGAACTCTTTCCTATAGCCATCAATGTCCTCAACAACACGCACAATAGTAACATTCTTTTCGATTACGTTCCTTCGTCTATGACTTCCTGCTGGAAGAAACTTTTTGGAAAAACTTGAGCCAACCGTCAAACGAACGGACCAGTCCAATGTCTGACATGAGTGGTGTTATTGGTAGTCGTAGAGATACCGTGCTTCTCCATGACCGCGGATGATTTAATTTTATTCTTATACTTCACGTCTTTCGGCTTCAGCATACTTTTATGATTACTCAGCAATCTCGACGGGGTTAGTATAGATTTATTGCTAAGCCCTGTTGCTTCCAGGAAGTGATCGTAGCCGCTACTCGGATTGGTCGCGGCAAGAGGAACATTATTATTGTCTTTGGTTGCGGCAGATTTCTCGTTCTGGCCAACTGTAGCCCCAAGATTGCCGAGTCTCTCCGAGCCATCGCCTTCGGGCCGATCAGGATCATCGGACAGGTCACACTCGTCCAGATTGAACTCCTCGAAGTTCTGTCTGATGTCGAACTCTTGATCGAACTCCGAATGAGCGTGTTTCGTCTTACCGCGTTCCTTCGTCTGATCGTCGGAATCGCCTCCGATTTTGAACTCCTCGAAATGGCGAACGATGTTTGTGACTCTCGGAATTTTACGCGTTTGTTCGCCGCTGTACTCGTGATTCTGTCGCGTCTGGAACGAGGAGCGAACGTTGTTGAATCTGTTCTTCCAGAAGCTCCCTTCCTCGTTGTTTCCCGTCACTTTATTCACGGTTTCGTCAAAATTCAAGCTCCTCGCCGACGACACGTTGATTCCTGCCGCTTTCAGAGGGGACGAGATGAAGCCAAAGATCTTCTTGCTGTGCTCGGCTGAGCTGGATTCGAGTAACTGTTGCTTCTTCCGCGTCTCGTCGATCAGGAACGAGGGACTAGGAATTTTCTTCAGGATCAACGTGTTGTTCTTGAACTGTGGCTTAGGCGGTAACGCTGGCGGCGTTTTAGGAGGAGGCGACATTATCTCTGGAAGCGATTCGATGTCCTCGTAGTCCAAGTTTTTCGCTATGGTCAGCCCTTTCGCGGACATTTGCAAACACGTTTTCTCCTCGATTCGTTCCAATTTCAAAGGTGGATTCACCGAACTGTTCATCGACGACTTGGTTTTTTGTATCGGCTGAGAAGAGCAGAAGCTCGTGTGTCTCGTCTCCTCCAGCTCGACCTTTGGCTCTATGATTACAATCGGAATTGCTTTCGATTCCTCTGACTCTTCTTCCAAGCTCGACTCGTGATTTACAATGTTACTCGTTACGCTCGGCGTCGATACCGTTTGAGAGATACTCATACCAAACTCGTCCTCGGTGGCTGTAGCTTCGAAACCACTTGCAGGAACGTCGTTAAAATCGCTTCCCGCTGATTCCTTCTCCGCTATGCCTTCCTCGGAATTCTTTCTCTCCATTTCAGAACCCACCGACTCGATGTCCGACAATTTTGCCGGCTGAAACCGAACGATTCTTCCTCGGTGTTTGAATCTTCTGGGCACGGAAAGAATGCTCTCCTCTTCCTCCATGTCCCTCAGAAGGATCTGATTGACGCATTCCAGGACGGAATTGTGATTACTGTTTGGTCGATACGTGTTGTGCCTGAACACATCGTCGTTGATCTTATCCTCGTCCGGATCGCTGTACCAATTCCCGCTGGTCTCTTCTACAGTCTGTTCCTCGATCTCCATTTTCAACATCCTGTAAAAGATGAAAATTCATTTGCGATCCTGACGCAGACCAGCTGTGTTAAAATTGAAATTCAGGAATTGCAACTTCTTGTCTTGAACTTTGATAAAAACACGATAACAATAGAGAATGCTTTCTTGCTTCAAAGAAATAATAAAAGGAAAACTTGGATAACCTTTGATTAATAATTCTATTATGAAAACTTAAATGTATCTATGGGAAATATTTGAAATTTCAAGGGCAGATCATTTCGCGAAGCGTTAACACTGAAAACGAACTAAACACTTACACGCTGTTGTTATTATTGTTAATGCCGCTACCGTGATTATTATTATTACTATAATCGTCGTTCGTCTTGGACGCGTCGGTGATGATGCACTCGGTGTGTTCCAAGTTCCTTGAATTCGTCTCGTTGCAAGCGTTAACGTAAATAGGCTCCTTCTCCTCGTCCTCCGACGCGAAATTACAGTCCATCCCATCATCCTTGCTCTCTGTCCTCGCGATGTTACCGGCCTCGATTATCTCCGCGTCTTTGCAAGCTTTCTGTACTTTCGACCTACCGTTTCCAACCTTCTTTCGAGGCAACTTCGAACCGTTCACCACGATCATCGTCCGTTCTTCTTCCTCTTCCTCCTCCTCCTCGTCATCCTCGTCACCGTAGACCATGGTAGTTTCGTTCTCGCTATCGGTGACCATCGTCGGTGTGCATCTGTTCGACTTGTTCAACGTCGATCCAGGCGATACATCCGTGCTTTCGCCTTCGCAAAAACCTTCGGTGCTGAGCAACGAGGGGCTTCCCTCGGTGGTGGTTGTGATAATAGACACGTCCGTGTTCTCGCTGCTCGTCAGGCTCGTTTTCGAAATATCGCTGCCGGCGAAGCTGTGAGTCTTCTTCACTCCTCTGTCCAACTCCTCGAGCGCAACAGGTACCACTTCCGAGGCGTTCAGTTTCGTAATTATCTCACACTTCAGGTTCTGAATGTCCTTGCTGATACTGCTGTCCTGTCTCGGGTTTGCCTGCAACGATGGAATTCGTATTTCCTGTAAGAAGTATTTATTTTTCTCAATCTTTTACAACGCGAATTATTTTTTCTTCTTTATTTCTTAAATATACAAAGGGAAATTATGAATTGAAACTCACGCTGACAGCTTGAAGGCTACTCTCCTCGATGTCGGTGGTCGTTTCGATCTTCGCCAAAGCGTTTCCCAACGTTTGCTCGCGTTTACACTTGATGTAATTCTTCGTGTAACGTCTGAGCTTGGCGATCTCGAGCTGCTGGTTCCTGATCACGTTATCTTTCTCGCAGAGCAGCTGCCTGATCGATTTCTGTTCCTGCTTCAGCCGCGCCTCGAGAACAAGCAGGGCACGGAGTATTCGTGAGAGTTGCTGATCACGAAGAGTCCTCTCGGACTCGTGGCTCGCCGTACGATTGTCCAACTCCTTCACCAGATCACGGCATCTCTTTGTCGCCGCCCTCAAGGCCTCCTGGGTACGAACTAGCTCCTGCTTCAACGTCCGTACCTCGGTTTCCATCTGCAAGATAACCAACTGGTTAGACAGAATATTCCTTATTATTTATTAAAAATCAACGTTTCCGCTCTCCTCAGCTATGCAAAGTTGAAAAGAATATCAAAATTTATTTCGATTTTACATTTACCATTACACTGAAAGTCGTACGCTCTCTCCAAATATTAATTGAATTTTAAGTCAGATTGATGTTGAGAATTATTGTATCATTTTTATTGGACTGGTCTTTATATCGAGAGCCAATTAAGGATTAATGGGATAAACCCTTTTCCTAAAGGATATTAAACCATGGCTTTTAGTCTATTAATAGCTTTTCTACTCGATAAAATATCAATGGTCAATTATGAAATTTTCTTGTGAATCTATTCGAATCGTTTCGAATAGAATGCAAAGACGACAGAAGCTCGCTGCAATTCGAACACGGACAATGGGAATGAGGAAAGCCAAAGGCTTTGTTCCTTAAGAAGAGAAATCTCCAAGGTTGACTCTGGAGGTCTGGAATTCGTCCAGGTGTAGACACCAGGAGGACCGGAAGGACCTGACCTGTGGAAGCTGCTAGGCCAGGTATAAAAAGGGGACCCAGTCAAAATATAAAGGGGATTCATTGTTAGAGCCTCAGCTTAAAAACTACATTATTCTGTACAGGTATCTTTCATTATACACCAGCATTAACAATTTGTCAAACTATTGATGGTATGTAAAATTCGTTTCTTTATTTTTCTATTATAAATAAAGTATTTTAATTGGTTTGGTAATTCTAGCGTCAATTATTTGAAACGTACAACAATCAAAATCGATCCTTAAGGGTGACATGTTTTTCTTCCTTCCCCAGAAGGGTATGGAAAGGGCGCAATTAAATCGCGAGATACTAATCGCTTCGCGAACGAGAACGCGTCTTTTCAATTAAGGTACATCTCAAGGTAACGGAACTGTGGCGGGGATATTTACAACACCAACTCCACTTCCTGACATTTCACGAACCTCGTTCTAATGGTCCCGATACATATCCCATTGCATGGAGGTACTTTCCCGCGAAACGATCGATTAATTCCAAGAATCAGTCATTTCGTACAAAGAATATCGATGAAACGTTTAAGTAGAAATTGGGTGAATTTTAGGAGACTAGAATAACTTTTTAATCATTGGATTCCTAAAGTTAAGACTTGCATTTTCAGACGCAACTACGGATTAAAAAAAAAAATGTCAAAAATTTTGTGTGCCCTACAGTAAAGTTTAATCTCTGGTTAGAATTTTCAACCCTTGATTTACCTTTGCTTTTCCTATAAGTGACTACCAGTCATTTTGTATTAAGAATACTCATGGGGCATTTATGCAGTCCTTTTTGTGGAAGCTTAAGCTTGAAATTCATACGCCATAAGCGCTGTTTCGCGATATTTTTCAGTCATGAAATCCACCATTCCACATAGCAGTGTCGTTTTCGCTCGACTGGAATGCCACGAAAGTTGGTGTTGTCAGTAGCGCAATAAAGTGCCGATGGCGGTGAATTTACGGAGGCAACGGATCGCAGGAAGCCGCAAATTTTCACGGCTGTACACGTTGTAATTATACCAGTGGCTGCTGCGAGAAACGCGTCCGACAGTCGAGCATTTCTACATCGTCGATGCTCTCTTTGCTGGCAGCGAAAGTAATCCTCTGCTCGTGATCTTCGATTTTCAACGTCGAGAACCGTGTGTACTGGACCTCGTATTTTCTTTACCCGTTAACTTACACCGTAATCAATTTACCCTTTAATCCATGAAACGCGACGCACTAAATCAACCTTTTTCCACTAGTAAACTTGTTTTTCTCCCAGCGATCCTCCGGCGACGCATTGTCTGACAGAGAATCGAAACAGTGTTTCTTCCTTTTCATCGGAAATATTCTACACTTTTAAAAGCCCATGAGAATTTAAAATAATTATTCCACGCTTGTTCGTACGGTCGTGTAATTCGTTGCCTTGGCATCGTATCGATTCTCGGAATGTTCAAATATTACGATGTGGCAATTTAAGAGACCGAAGGAGTTCCGGTTCCGATAAACGTTACGTGACCTCGACCACCTCCAACATTTTCCCAACTGGACAGAAATTTGTATTCCATGACATCACAGGAATCCCCGATGACCGAGCGAATGCGTTCGGCAATAGTTAGAAAGCGTAGGACGATGACTTGTCCCTGCCCCGAATGCCAACAATCGCAAATATCCAATCACCGTTCGGTGTAATTAAAAAGAAAATAATTAATTGTGCCATTTAAATTTATAGGAATTGTAATAATTGACGTGACGCGTATAGGAATACGAAGAAGAAAATGCGATAGGAATAAATTTCTGAATGCAATTCTCGAGGAGCTTCGATTAAATCCATTACAAGGTTATCAAGTTATTAAGACAAAAGTTTCCCAGACTACTGCACGTCGTTCGGAGGCAAATCCTGTTCTACAACATTTTTCAAAATATATTCATAATTTATAACTAAAGAAAAATTATTTTTATTCTGGGATCAACTTTACTTTGGGGCATACAAAATTGTCGATTTTTATTCCGACGGTATAATAGTATTTGACGAGTAGAATATGAAAATACTAGTTTTAAGCTTAGGGATTCGGTTTCACAAAATCAGTCCCCCATAGACGTCTTCGAAAATCTGACACCCACTACCGTATCCATCCAGTTCGGTTTATAAAGTGGCTCACAGAGGTGACGAAAAAGTGTGCTGCGACTTTCTCCGTTCTTGACCAACGGTTTTTCGGTCCATCGAGGTGCACGATAGGAGGTCAAACGATTCGAGTGGTTGCTATACACCGAAGTATACCTGCTGCCTGTACAGTGGGGCAAAGTTTCAAGAAACAGAAAAGAGATTGAAAATTCTACTTCGTCTATCAAAAATCCTATATTCCAACTCTATACTATGGACATTGATCTTTCCAACGTATATGAAAATCATTAAAATAACCAGATTGAAAAATCTCATAATTTTAACATAACGATTTCTTCCCTATTTCTTCGAATTCTACTCCACTGTGTGCCGGTACAGTTATCCGGTTTAATGCTTCCACTAGCCTCCGGCCAGTCGTCAAATTCTTTTTGGTAGCAAGTGCAGAGGTCAGGAGAAACAACTTGAACGCCATTTCGTTCTTGCCCGAGACCTTTTTTAACCCGACAGACTTAGAACTGCAGAAAAACGTGCAAAAAGGATAACGTTCGTTCCGAGATGACGTCAATGCTGCATTCTCGTCTCCGATAACTGAGAAACACACTTTCTCCGATGTTACGGTGTAACGAGTAAACGGGGATCCATAATTATTGCACGAAACGTGCAATAACAGTACGTAACAACATTTCTCTTGACCTCTTGCGATCGGTAAACGGTACGTCACGATTTCACTGAAATAGAACTCCGAAAAAGAAACGCGGGACTATGCGGCACGAGTTTTAATTGTCACGAATCAGCGTTCCGATTGATCACTGATTTGTTTTATTTCTCGGTCATCAAACAGCCAAGAATCCTTATTTCGCAAGCCGAGCATGTACTTACACGTAGTAGTCCTCGCGAACACGAGTACAGAATTGTGTCATCGTTAAACAGCCTTCATTGATTGCTTCAGGATATCTTATTACAATCGATGTAATAATTATCGCTCGTTTTCATGTACCGTTTAGCGATAAGGAGTAGTGTCGATACGCTATGTTTGTATATTCACGCGAGGATAATAAAAGGATCAGTGGGAAGATAAATAAGAATTTGATACCGAGTAAGCTAAAGTGTTGCTGAAGTAAGCTCAGTCGTTGTAATACAATTCAATATGTAATCTCTGTTTAAAGTAAACAATGGATAATTTTACAATGATTGCAACAAGATCTTCGATGAAAACTTCTGAAAGGACAACTGATTCGTCATCTGATGACTGTAATTGATTGGGTTCGAATAAGTCCACGACACACTTTACGAGTACATCTTATTCGGCCTGTTGTCGATTTAAAAATAAACTACTGTGCCTTTTACTGCAGTACTAAAAGAGCGCGTAATTTAATCTAATTTTTTTTTATAATGTACATTAAACATAGGTATGATTTGTAATATGTATTTATCTTCAATTATAGCGAGTTTGAAAGTGAAGATTTTAGTTAAGTTTAAATGGAATACCATAGAATTTTTGATATTCAACGAAACACCTACCGTGTACGGTAGTTTTGACATTAAAAAATCATTCGTATGTTCTTATTATATCCTGTGAATCATTACCTTAAATTTTGTGCTCGGATGCGGTAAATTTATCCAATACTCGCGAGAAGATCGACGTAGATGATCGGCATGATATATGTCCGATTTTCCACTCACAATCACACATGAATCAACCAAATTTCACCTGATTTCGACATAACATTCTGTCACTGATCCTCGAGGCATCTGTCGTGCGTCGCCTCCTCGAGGATGCCGGTTACGAGCGTTGCCGAGGATAACCGAACATTACCGAAGGTCACCGATGCTTTCCGGAGACTAGCGCGAATGGCCGAACGTTTTCGCGTACCTGACATATTGTACTTCGAATTTTTAAACTATTCTCATTATTTTCACAGTTCACTAGACGATTATTTGTTCATCCTCTTATTTTACTCGATCCTTGATAATGTAGTAGGTCAATAATTATCCTGCCAGGGGAAATGTGAATCGCGTGTTGGAAGCCGAATGTAGGCGAGACGAACTTTGGTTACGAACTGGTCAGTCGGCGAATGGACAGTTAGGCCCAAGAGGGAGTAAAGAATGGTAGAGGGAGAGGGTTGAAGCATACTCGGATTTCGAAAACAATTTTCTCCTACTATAAAATCCTATCGATACAAAGTAACACTGTTAATATAACCTGTTTCCTTTAATGAAAGGCATTATAATACACAAAATTGCAATTTAAAATCAGAAAAATTGCTTCCAAATACTACATCACTGATAGTATGAAACAAAGGGTTACAATAAAAAAAATGATAAAAGATATTACAAATGATTTTTTTCTTCGGTATATCTTCTTTTTTTTCGAAGAAAACCTTTTACACTCGTGTGTTTGTTGAATAATTGATGAGAACATGGTGAGCCGTAGTTCCTAAGTGCAGCCCTGAGAGCCAGAGTCAGACGGAGAGAAGGAAGAAAGTAAGAAATGCAGATAGAGAGAGACAGGCCTGTTCCGCGTGCACGCGTGCACGAATGTTTGCGTATTTTTTTCCATGTGTGACTTGTTTGCGATCAGATGAAAACAGGTAGGGTCCCCAATAGACCGTACATAATGCAAACCTGGTCACGATACGTCCTTTTTCAGGTAAATTTCCAAACAAATCCATCCACGCGTTAATGTGAGTCAAAGTAAGAAACAGCTGATCAAGAAACATTCTTCGACTACCGTGACCGATTTGCAACATTCCCTTATCATTATTTCTACAATACATTACAATCCTTCGATGTCGGATAACAAAATAGTTCATTATCGCCGGCTTATCTTCCGTTGTTATCTCCTTTTTCAAGAAAAGATTATAAATTAATTACCTGGAAATTACTGCGTACACACTTTTATTCAACAAAGTATCAATCATCGCAATCGCTTTGAAGAAACATCGTTCAGAGAAGATTATCCCCGGCTCTCTAATAACAGATTCGATCGGCTCTTTTATTTCTAACGGACTCGCTACACACGATGGAGGATAAAAAGGAAGCTTCTGAATCTATCGAACACATTTTGTGACGTTAAAAAAAAAAAATAGAAAAAAAGAAAAATGAAGAGCAACGAACAGTCACGTGCGTTCTCGGAGTACCGTTTTCGCAACGACACCAGATATCAGCCTCGTTGGAATGTTATCGACACGAACGTTCGTTCTTGATCTTGTCTGAAAGGAGATCGTTCTCAGCCGGGCGAGAACGTCGATTGTCCTAGAAAACAAGATTCTACCGGTCGGCGCCAGCTCCGCGGTTGCGCAATTGCCCCTTAACGACTTCGTTCGGGCCTTCTTGCAGCCAGCCGCGCACCTAGTTTTTGCGGAAACCACCTTTGAGATACCTTTAATTCGCGTACATCTTAATTGCCGATCGGAAACAGGTGACAACGAACGACGACCTACCGGTACGGTCTATGCGCGAGATTCGAGGTTCCCTCAGGATACGATTAATCAAGATGTAATTATAAGACACAACTAGTAACACGGATCTGGGTACGAATGGTACCCGTTTACGGTCGCTGATTCAACGATTTATGCGTTGAACTGACCGCTAGTGTATTATTAATTTTTTGCACTAATAACATATTCGTTTTTAGGTCGTTTCATATTCGAACGGACTACGGGATTTAATGAATCTGGAGCGTAACTGAATATCGATGAAGTCAATGTATAAATGTAAGTACCTCGGTATAGGACCTTAATCCGTTCCTGATGTTTGGATTTATACCAAATTGGACGTATTCCAAAGCAGACGTATACCGAGGTACCAGGCGTATTCAATTTTGTATCGCGAGGAAAATGAGATCACCTGCGGTAGCTCGAAAACCCCAAGGTTTCCTCGTGCTAATGAAAAGCGTTTAACAGATCGGGTGAACAGTGTTTCTCAAAACTGGTAGCCGAGAAAAGGGGAAGCAACATTTTCACGGTGTAACGCGAGAGTTTTACTCCAGTTTCAGGGAACAAAGGCATCGAGGGGCAACGTAAAGTCCTTGATCGTGACTCTATCGCGAGAGGGCAGACGAGAGAAAGAAAAGAAAAAAGTAAACGGGAATATTCTTGTTGGAAGCAGCAACAGCAGCAACAGCAGCAGCGAACTCAATCCTGCGCGATAACGTCTCATCGATTTATTAACTCGGTTACCTTAGGAACCTGGTTCACCAGCCCTCGGTTAGTCCGAAGGGATAACCGTTATCACGATGCACGAATACAATCGATTTCTTACCGCCTGGCTATACTCCATCCACAGTTTCGAGTCTATCTTCTTCCTGCACGACATTCTTCCGATGATCGTTTGTCCCACCCACTCGCCGATGATTTTTCCCCTTTCTTGTAATCCAAGATCACCGACGGGATATCACTAGCTTGTAAGTACGCGATGGTTATTTTTTTCACCAGCCTTCGATCGATTCGATCGTCCGTTAAGAATTCTTCATCCGAAGATGAACCTCCGGTTCGCGTAAATCGAAGCGAAATTTTTGACGAGCGAGATATTTTCGTGTTGATTCATCAGAGAGATTTGCATTCCTCCTCGTTGAGGTAACATCTCCTCGCAGACCTCTTACGTTCCAATTGTCCGTGCTACTTTAAATTCTGGTCGATGATAAACTTGTTAACCGAACCGATGAGCACATCTCTTCTTTTAGCAGGGAAACTCGATTATTGCATCCTGTCTCCGCTTTTCGTTTAATCGCTTCACCGTTCAACGTTAAAACACCGTGAAGAAGCACTTGAAACTTGTACCAACGACGAAGGTGCAGCGTTCAATTACTTTTTCTATCGCACCACTTAACCGAGATATTGATTTATCTTGCGAGTCGATTCGTTGCAAAAATAACTTGTACTCGCAGCTGATGGTTACCATTTTTCCGTACATCGTGTCACGCGTTTGTGTCTCGTTAATGGTGCACATCGGAATTCTTTCAATTTTCTTCGGCTTTCAGAGGAGAGTACGAACGAAAAGGCGCGCTCGTTTTCGAGTAACGGTACGCGACGATTCCTTGCACAAGAACCGTCGTCGTGACTCAACGAATCTGTAATTGACGCGATATGGTGTTAATTGGCTGGAATTAATTAGCTTCGACGGCATTAACCGCGCGTTCCACGGGGGATCGGTTCCATACGGTTATGCAAATTAGCTTTCTTTCGTCGCGTTGCATCGCGATTTAATGTTTCTTTTTTTATTTCATCCAATGGAACGGTCAACGATCACCAAAAAAGAAAAAGAAATGAAAAGGAAACATTTGTCATTTTAGTAAAATGCGCGAGGAAGCTTTATCGTGGCTGTAAATCCGCTAATAAAACGTTAGAGCATTTGAAAGATCAGCGAACGATGAAATTATCGAGGACGCGTGTATCGCGCACCGCGGCTCGAACAAAGTCCGCGTTCTGCGAGACGAAACGTTCGACTAACTGTTCTCATAAAGCTTGCTCGTTATCTGGAGTGTTACCTGCAAGACAATGATAACAACCACGATAATGACGCTGATCGTCGTAAAGATTACGATCGAACCTGATAAACATATGTAAATACGCGGAGCATTCAGATACGCGGGGATTCGTGCAACTATCATAAGTCAAAGCCTTTCTTCGGTGCAATTAGAAAAATAATGAATAGTTTACAGAATACTATATTACAATGTTAACAAAATGAATATCAAGAAATTTAAATTTGAATTTCTTATACACTGATATCGATACACGGTTCATACGTGTGTTTTGTAATTAAAAATATATTGTTTTTAAGTCTAAAAGTCGTGTATGATTATATATTAACAATTTCAGAATATGTTTCATTCATTACGTACATAATGTATCATTTTCGACAGATAAAAATAATTGTAATTATAATGAAAGCAAAACATCGTAACAAAAATCACAATATTGTTCGTATCAGCTGTCGATATCGTATCAAAAAACAACAGACAATAAAAAGAACACCGTTTAGTGTTAATAATCTGTGTAAACCAAGTAATCGTCATGTTTCCGGTTTTAGGCAAAAGTATACCGCTACGTCACTAAATGTCGAATGACGGTGTCACGCAGACTGGTTGTTATCATTAAATAGTTTTTATCAGTTCAGTATACGTGTACCCGAGCTTCACCGAAATGTTACACGGTCGATACTCGAACAAGATTACAACGAACCTTCCACGTGTTATTACAAAAAACCTTATCTGGTAGCGTTTATGGGCCATAAAATGGCAATTGAATTACAAATGCAATAGCTTCGCTATCACTTGTTCTATTTATTTATTATAGTATCGACTAGGCTTCTCGTCTAGTCGAATAGTGAAACTTTTACGCGACCCACAGAGGGGTTTCTAGTGGGTGGGGTGCCACCCCGAATTTGTTGGCGTGGGTGGTACGAGTCCCACACTGCTCAGGCGCCCCTTAGCCGAATGATGCGACGGGGTTAACAAAAAAAAAAAGTGAAAATTTTTAGTATCTATGACGTTCTTTGTAATTGCTATCTGTGGATATGTGCCATGCGGGCACACGTGCTCGTGTTACGAGACGCAGGTAAGCAAAGACAGATGTACAACAAAGGGATACCTTCTGTGCGGGTCTTTACGTACTCCGCGACCTTTTAAGCGATACGCTTTGACAAGCAGAGTACGTCAACTTTTCGCAATCGGACACGGTGAAGCAATTTGCTATCCAGGTTTCCTGTTTTCATTTTTTCTTCGTCTTTTTACGTAATTCAGCACGTTTAAAAACACAGATCCAAGTAATTTCTGTAGACTTTATTACGGATCAAAGAATCGTACAGGAGCTATTTTGATTATTCTACGTTTTTTGGCAAGGTCCTTCCTAAGCTTATTGATCCTTCGATACCCGGACAGTCTTGGAGGGTAAGGCTGTTTAAAATTCAAATAATAAGGTAATATCGACAGCTGACACGAACGATATTGTAACTAGTTTTTTATGCTAGATTTAAACTAACTTTAACGATGAAATTTTGATAAATTATCCTATGATAAATAAAAATTATTCCTTCGGAGTGTCGTCGTCGCGTGCAGAAGCAATGCCACGCGACGCGACGACCAGACATCCAGCTAACAACACAAGAAAGGAATAAAATGGAAGAGAATCGATACACTGGCCAGATAACAATTTGCGTCATAGTCGAGGGTCGTATTGTTCGATCGGTTTACACGATATTCGAAATTTACGGCGCGACGACTTGCCGTTCCGCAACAGAATCGTCGAATCTGTTGTTATCGAGTTGAAACCACGACAGAATACACGTCGCTTCTCATCCGGATAGACTTTTCTTTTTAACCCTTCCTCTATTTTCAACTTACTTTACAACTGTTTTCTTGTATCGCGCAATTTATCGTTCCTAAGGTACGTTTTACTGACATTCAACTGTTATAGCACTCTAACTATAATTTTAAAAAAATATACTGCTCCTCCTTTTTCGAAGTCGGTCAAAAAATGTCCACGACACAAAATTAAAGAAAAATAATTCCAAGATAATTAATTTTTTTTAAATTTCCACTGGGGTTAAATTTGAAAGATAACAATTTTTCCAACACTTTGATCTCCATTGACACTAAGATTCTAATTTGATAAAATAAGTAAGAAAATTTCTCAGAAAATGGAACAGAAGTTGAAGGATATCTAAACTGTTCTCGATAACATTTGCTACTAGCAGCAATCGCTATCTTATCATTGTTTTTCACCTCGCTTTTCCAACCACGGTTTCACCTGATAATGACACGCGTTTATTATCCGCGTTGGAATTCGCTTCGTTCCGACCGAATTATCCGTCGAGAACGCGTACGTTCAGGTCACCACGACAGGTACGAGGAAAAGTTTCTCCTCGGTTTCCATTTAATCGACCAGAAACACTTTTTCACCGTGATTAAAACTTGGCAATCGCAGAAAGTTGCTTGGTAAAAGACGATGGAAACGATTAAACGGTCGGAGATGAAGCGTAGAAATGTAGATCAAGGTGTGAAAAATATCGCGATCCTTTCTTCTTATCGCGAACAATGTACGTAAACTATGAAATAAACAGGTACTTTAACGCTTGATTTTATTTTCCATTGATAAAAAATATGACGGGATTGAAAGTGAAACGTTTGTTAAGAATATTGTCAACTTTTTCTTTCTTCCACGAGTTTTGTAACTGTGTCATTAGAATCAACAACTTTTCCCGCTTACGTTCGCCGCCCGTATAATTAATAATTATCTGCGTTTGTTACGCTTTCTTGGTCTCAGTTTCCTCGTTACCATCGGTCGTGTTCCGAGCCTGCACGTGCCGAAGAAAACAATCCGAACGAGGACGTAAGGTTTCACATCCTAGTACGATGCTTTTCGATTGATATCCACTTTCTATAACGAAGTGTCTTTTAAAAAATACAGAAATTAATTGCAAGACGTTTATCATAAGCGCATCGATGCACTCAAAGAATGCAGTAACGATATGGAAATAAGTAATAACCAGAGCGGAATGTACGTAATGGAGCATATGATGTGGTAAAAAATGTAGGTAAGGCATGGTTTTCGCGATGGAACGAATATGGGGCGAAAGTTTGATTCTGCCACGTGTCCTGACCCCTTTCGTAATAAAATATTGACTCTGAAAAAAATTCGATTCATCTTCGATTACAGTGTGAATAATTTTCTAATTTTCTAATTTTCTAATATAATCTAATGTAATATGGCGTCATTCATAGATTCGTATCTTTCTGCTCGAGTAACATGATTTTTTAATCACCGATCATTCATAGCTCTCTCTTTGATTTCAACGTCCTTTGTTAAAGGAACCTAACGGAACGCGATGGGCGAAGTCGATTTAATTTGAACGGACTTTGAGGTATTCGTTCGTTGCATTAGTTTCTTTTTTTATCTTCCAGCCAATCGACAGAATCGGTTCTAATCGAAATTTCCGATCAGAGGAGCTCGTTAAAAAACCGCTACACGTCCAACTATCTGTGTTAGAATCTACCATTTTATTTTCGCGAGCAAAAAAAAAATAGATTAAGTGAATGTTTCTGAATTTTTGGTCACGATTGTGCCAGCTCAATTATCCAAAAGTGAAAAGTATCATTTTCATTCGGCTGGATATTAAGGGTTATTAGGACGATCGGGAACGGTATTTTACAGCTTAATTCCTGTCTTAGAGATCGGTTATTTTTCAAAAGACATTCTTAACCCGGCAGAGCATCGAAGCAACGATTTATCTCGATCACGAAGAGCAGCCCCTTTGCTTCGCCATCGTACCGGTATTATTGCCGTTTAGAACGAACGGTACACACAGTCACGTATTCGCTATCGAATGGATCGATTTCGTGTCGGTACGATCCACTTAAAATACCTACGATGCAAATCAGCCTTAATGCTCGTAGAATTGACCTACGATCGATTCCAACAGACGATAGAAATAATTGTCGAAAAATCAGTTTAGACCACTTTGAGACTTGAAAGGTCCACCGTTCGAGAGTTAAGAATGTCCGAAATAAGAAAATCCTCTAAGAAAAATCTTACCCGACGAAGCGAAGATTTTTCCGGGTGTAATTGAAAATTTTTCGTTTCACACGAGTTGCCGGTCTGACTCGATTTCAACGACTGGAACGCGTCCGAGAGCGGGAGTACCACCGACGACCTAGGAATTTAAGATAGTCATCACCGGCGCACTTACATAAGCTTTACCTCGATGTCAGAAGGAACCAGGAAGCGTGTCGTGACGGATGGTAATGCGATCGTAATAACATGTACGCCGGTGCAAAGACGTTTCGAGGGAGGAGAACGAAGGAGGACCGGCAATCGAAACCGAAATATTCTGAATGAAGAATTCAAAATTATTTCAAATAATGCTCGATTCTGGCCAAATGAAACAAAGAGCAACACGAGCATCAAGTAAAAACAAGGGCAGCAAGAACGATCTTGTGGAAAAGGGTAAAAATTTCAGCGTCGAGTTGGCCAAGGAACGCGTATAAATCAACGTTGAAGCCATTAAATTCTACGGTCACGATAACACGTGAATTTTTTCCTCGCCTAGCGTTTCAATGCGTCTCCATTGTTAGGAAGAAGCAAGACAATGGACAGATATTACGAGGCACGGAAGGGAAGAACAGAAGTGGCGGAAGAAGAGGAGGAGAACTCGAGTTCCTCGGCATCTCTACAACCCGCGGCGATCCATTAAATCAAATGTGCGTGATAGTGTGACTACGATTGTCGTGTCAACATCGCATAGAAATAACTAACCACAAAGGAACATATTTCTTTTTTAGTATAAATAGAGAAGAATTTCTTCTTTTTTTTTTTTATTAATAATGTGGCAAACTCTAATGAGAGTTTGATGAGAATCTAAGACATTAAACCACATCCTATTTAAGCGTCCTACTTACAGAGAAATTAGACCAAAATGGATGGAAATTAAATTTCAAAACAAGTGAAATAAAAATTGTAATATGCAGCAAAAAAATATTCAGACATTAGATTCATTATTGATCGTCACAGGAAACACTAAATGCGATTACTTCCGACAATCGACCACCCATAAGCTTAACGTCACACCGGACCAATTATACGTCTAATTATTAATAATTACTCCAGACTCTGTAAGGGGACAAAGAGAAACAACGTTACGTAGGCTCTCCCTTTCACGAAGAATGTAAAATTACTTCACCCGATG